TTGGCACCCAGCGGTTGAGTTGGGCGTTTGCGGGTCCATGGAGATGGGTAGGGGAGATAAGCCTAAATAATAGCAATGTTAGTAGGCTAATAAACACAGATATCAATTATTAATCTCTGAGAATTCATGCATGTGGTATATCTATTGTGAGGATACGACAAACAAACACTACCTAGATCATGGCCTTGGACAAGATTTCAAGTGGCCCGCCGTGAAGATCAAAATAACGTTCCTATGAACGAGTCTTATTTGTTGCTTCGGTGACCTAGTGGTTACCCTGTTAGGGTCATTTATATTATCATCATCATCATTTATTATTATTATTATTATTATTATTATTATTATTATTATTATTATTATTATTATTATTATTATTATTATTATTGTTATTGTTATTGTCATTGCTATCATCATCATCATCATCATCATCATCATCATCATAATCATCATCATCATCATCATCATCATCATCATCATCATCGTCACCATCATCATCATCATCATCATCATCATCATCATCATCATCATCATCATCATCATCATCATCATCATCATCATCTCCTGTGTGTAATTGCAACTTTTTTTTGCAATCCTATTTACATCAAATTATTTCCATTATAATCAACGAAAAGGCAGCCTGCTTCGTTGGCACAGCCAAGATCAATCTTATTTCAGTTTCGACAGAAGGGTGAGGATGCTAAATTATACCTACTGACGTTGAATTCAAATTATGCTTAACATGAAATGAATTACATTGTGTTCAAGGCGTAAAGCCTAACAGTAAACAAAACAGACGTCGGTGTGCTTCGCAGTGAAGAAAAGGCTTTGTTTTAGTTGCGTGTCCCCTGAACGAGGGGGAAGTCATAAGCAAACCGGTCTCCTGGGATGCATTATGACGTGGAGTTGAGTGTAGCTGTAGCAGGAATTGTTTCTCTAATAATAGCCTATTATAGCATGGTCCTATTTTCTTTCGTCATCAGTTATTCTGCTTTCAGTCTCTCCGGTTGCATGCTTAAAATCATCATCTTCCAAGACACAACGGGCCAGTCCTGTTTCCTCACCTTCCTGGCCATGAATAAAATTTGGTTAAAGTATAGGCCAGAGCTTTATTTAACACTTTCCGTACGTCGTGTTTTACTATCGTAACCATACGACGTGGGCAACTCTGTGCCGTCACTTTCCAATGAAGAAATTTACTCGTTAATCCGATCCGTACGCTTTGCACAGCAGTCTTTCAAAATGATTTTTTGAGAAATACTGAAAGTTTCAAAGAGATTTTCGTTCTAGAAGTATTCTAAAGTGTGAAGAATACAACCCAGGGATTACATACAGAATTACCCCAGGGCGTACGGATAGGGTTAATAGTGTTGTTCGTTCACTGGAGGATGAAGAGGTGGGGGAGGGGAGGTTGAATGAGGACTAGACTGGTATAAAATATGATGTAACCCAACAGGCCTTCATGGTAAAATGTTGAGAAAGAGAATGAACGCCCGATGAAATGTCGGTTAAAGTGTTTATATGATATTTATAATAATTATAATAATAATTTGTGAATAACAATGTTCATGGGCGCTAAGCCTACTTTAAAATACACGGTATCCCTCTCAGCCCTGGTTGGTCTTGATGGGCAGGACCGAAGTAAATCTCCTTCAAAATTATTATCTAAATTGTGCTGAAGGGCTCGTAGAATGTCCACCATTACTTAATTTCGGTCACGTAATCTCTCTCTCTCTCTCTCTCTCTCTCTCTCTCTCTCTCTCTCTCTCTCTCTCTCTCTCTCTCTCTCTTGCCACTTTTAACTCCCAGTGGAGCATAAGCCATCAACATCATTTCTCCAGCGAGGCCTGTCCTGTTGTGCATCCTATTCTAGCTGTTTCCATGATGTCCACGCCTTTTTAATTTCCGCTTGTACCGCTCTCCCCCATGTCATCATCTTTGGTTTTCCTTTCATACGTTTTCCTTATGGATTCCACGTCAATGCCTGTCTGATGATGCTTGTCGGGGGTCTCCTCAGGGTGTATCCAATCCGTTTTATATGGCAAAACTGTGCAGAGCAGACTGTAGTTAACAAACACTGTTGCTGTTCGCCAAAGTTCTGCGCCCCTTTTCAGCGAGATTGAATTAATTTTCCTTAGGAATTCGTGACTTTGTGAGCCTCAGTTCCCAAACTGCTGGACAATAGAATCTGTTTGTGGTGTTTGTATTGTAAAAAGTGTGGTCAGGTATCCGCGTTAAGCCTCTTTAAATCTGTAAAGTCATATTTGAGCCTGGACCTCATAATTTAACGTCCATCTACGATATTATGATCAGATCCACCCATTTGGTCGAGAATTTTTGTAACTCCTCACATAATCTGGGTTTTTTTTTAGTTTTTAAAGAGATTTACGGCACTTGCAAAACAATAAGGTGACATAAATGCCGAAGATTAGAGGTGTTACAAGAGAGTAACAAACACAAAAAAGAAGGAGGGGAGATCGGGACAATAGATGTTTGAAAGGAAAGAAGGAGCAAACCACACCAGAGCACCCGACAACCACCCACCTCACACAACCCAGTTCCAGATCTCGTATTTTGGGATTTGAAACAGAGCCACTTAATTATACCGCGGCCCAATTTTATATCTGATCTAACTGTGTGCCGTGCTTATAGTGAAGACAATATTATTATTATTTTTATGCTCTTCGGTAAAGCCGCAAAATACAAATAAGGTCTAAATAATTGTTTTTTAAAAAGAAACCCAACAAAACCTACAACCTGTCCTACTATGGTAAATCAAATTTGAATAGTGTGTACCTTTAAATGGACCTGAGTAGACTGCCCAATTCTGGTAGTTTTGGTAGACTCTACAGTTGTTGCCTCTCTTCTCTCCGAGATATTGGGGCTGTTGGTTTAACCCTATCCGCACGCACTGGGGTATTTTGCACCCCCGGGGTTGTATTCTTAACATTTTAGAATGCTTTTAATACGAACATCTCTTTGAAACTTTCAGTATGTCTCAAAAGATCATTTTGATAGAATGCTATGCAAAGCGTACAGACCGGATTAAAAAGTAAAATTCCTCTTTGGAAAATTGTGGCACAGAGTTCCGCACGTCGTACGGATACGATAGTAAAATACGACGTTCTGATAGGGTTGAAATTTAATTGTTTCCTGTGTAGGTGTGGTTTAAAAAAAATGAAATAGCAACAACTGTAACAAATGATAATGGTATTGATGATGATGATGATAATATGATGATACTCAAGCTAATGATATTAATAATAATAATAACTACTCTATTAATATTATTATTACATGTATTATTAAGCTTGTCATCATCATCATCATCATCATCATCATCATCATCATCATCATCATCATCATC